CTTCCCATGAAGTCTGATTTCTGCCCCCAACGCTCCAATGAAACTGCTTTGGCTGGTTACCAATGACCTCCTTACACCTAAATCCATTGGTCACAACTGAGCTTTTCATCAGCTTTTACTTCTTAGCGGCATGGGCCACACCCTCTGTGGAACCCTCTCCTCTTTCGGTTCCATGTTTCTGTACTGTCCTGCCCACCTCCCACATCTACTCACTTCTCTGTGAGCCTATGGGCCCTTCTCCTCTGTGTCTCTTGTGAATGTCAGTTCTCTTCTTAGTTTTTTTCTAGGGGACTTTCGTTCTACACTCCCTGGGTGCTGCAGTTCACTCTCTAGGCAAGACAGAAGGTCTTGGCCTTGAAATGCTCTCTTTCCTGCATCATGAATTTCACTTCCTCTGAGGCTCTCTTCCCCATCCTTCCTCTGATGCCCATTTGCTGATGTATGTCATGACTTCTGCCTTCCCAGGTTAAATGATCAGTACTCATTTGAGGTAGTGCATCACTCCTTTCTTGAGACACTTTAGACGCTATGCTCTGGGATGGTTTTCCTTTGTACCCATCCCCTTATTAAACTCCCTTTGGGGATCCCCCTCTTCCCCCTCTCCAAGTTCTGGGATGCTCCATGCCTCAGTTCTAGGCCCTCTTCTTTCTGCACTCACTCCCTAGGTAATCTCATTCAGGCTCTCACTTCAGATACCACCTTGGCCACCCTCACATTAACATCTCCAGCCCCAATATCTCCAGACTGGTTTATCCACATATCTACTCATCACCATGACTTGGGTGACTGAAAGTTCTTTCATGACTAATACTTCATTTCTTCCTCTGACTTTTTTCTTTTTCAGCCTTTTCTGTCTCATTAAATACTGCCACCGTTTATCAACTTACCCAGGTCAGAAAACCAAAACATCTTTGATCTCCTTTCTTTCATCTTCCAAATAAAATTCATCATCATTTGTGCATCTATTTATGCACAAATAAAGCCAATTCTCATCATCTCTGCTAAGTCTATTCAAAGAGCAACCAGAGACATCTTTAAGAACATAAATCATATCACCTGCTCTCCCACCTGTGTCCTATATTGCCCCTATGTATGCTGTCCTCTACCAGTATATTATAGGAAGCCACCTAGTTGCCCAATTTAAAACCTAGCTCCCATCCCAGATCCCTCCTTTTTCCTCTTCTTCATTCCCAACTCCTAAATTCGTTCAGTTGTATCTCCTAAATATTTCTTGAGCTCATCCACTTCTCTCCATCTCCACTGCTGCTCCTGGTTTTGGCCACCATCAGCAACTGCCTGCTTAGAACCCTCGGTGACTCCTCGTTGTTCCTTGGATGAAGTCCAAACTTACTGCAGCAGCGTGATATCAGCCCTCCTCCCACTCACCTTCAGCGACCCTTCTTTTTCATGGACTGCACTATGCTCGCTCTCATCTTCCAGACATCAGCTGTGCTGCTCCCCTGCCTGGAACAGCATCTTTCCCTCCTTCATTGGGCTAATTTGTTCTCACCTGAACACGGTGTACCCAGGTTTGGGTTTGGTAGACCTCCCCATGTGCTCTTTAGCTTCTCTTTCTCTCCATTCATTACATTTTACTGTGATAACCTGTTCCTTCTCCTTCTGCACCACAAAATGGTAAGTTCTGAGAGACCAGAGGAAGTGCCCAGGTACTCATTTTTATATCCATAGCACCAAACCCAGTGCCTGACACATACTAGGTGTTAAAGAAATATTTGTGTGAGAATGAACAAACAAAAAGAATAGATGAGAAATGACAAGAATGATGATGGAGAAGGCTTGATTGAAAGAGAGGCAATGGATGTTGTAAGGAGTCCTTCGGGAGAGCGAAAAGCAGATTCTGCTACAGAAAATTTGATGAGCCGAGTTTTCACACCTGAGTAAAAGAGCAATCACACATCACTTGGAGGGAGCAAGTGGTGAAAGAGGGGTATTTGCATTCTAACTTCATATCCAAGTAACAATCAAATATAAATTCAAATTGCTGGGGTCTAAAGTGGTGGAGAATGTAAGGGCCAGGAAGTAGGCAGAAGTGTTTAATGTGGCTTCAGAATGCTTTGTATGATTCGTATCTCACAATAAAAAAGGAAGAGGTAAAATTGATTCATATATATCTAAGAGCTAAATCAATCATTCTGCAGCTTTTTAATACACAGCATGAATGAATTACTGTTACGTTTTGACATAGGCCATGCTTAAGTTAATTACATTATATAGTTTATTTATGTGGACACTTGAAAAACTAATCAGAATGACCCAAGGGGAAAACTGGGCCAAAAATAGAAAAGTCATGGAAGAATAAAACCAGTGGGCCAATAAACATACAACAAGATATTCAACTTCATTAATATTCAAGAAATGTAAATTTCTAAAAAAAAAGAGACCCCCACTTGACACCAATCAAAAAATCTAGAATATTATTCAGGAATAATAAGAGACTATTCGTTGTTGATGAAGGTGTAAATTGGCAAAACAATACCTTAGAATAATACCATGTGTCTATAACATAAATCACATTTTATAACATAAAACAAGATTCTATTTTATTAATGGATGTATATATATGTAGACAAAGGATAAAAACATAAATGAAAAGGATATAAACTATAAGACTGGACTACATCCAGGAATGAAAGGTGCAGGAAGGTATGAGGGGATAGGTGTCAAGTTGTATCTGCAATGGTTTGTTTCTTTAAAGAAAAAACGAGATTTTAAGTATGGGGGAAAGTATTAAAGCTGGCGATAGGAATGTGGGTGTCACTTATTTCTGTGTGTGAGTTCTTAATATTGTTCTATAATTGATTACAAAAACAAATCAGAGATCAACACATGGAAAACCCTACTTGTGACAACTGGGATAGGATCCAGAACTAGGTCTTCTTTGGAGAGTAGAATTTAGGTTAATGAGAAAACTAATGTTTGCCAATAGTCAAAGCTTTAGATGGTTACAGTGTGCAAATAAAAAAAAAAATTACTAAGTCACAGGAAGGTAACAGTAATTGTGTGATTGGGATTCAAATCTCAAACTCTGAAACCAAAATCTCACTTACCAATGGTTCTCACTTGAACAACAGCTCTGACTGTCCATGAACTTGAATTATCCAGTTGAGTATAATCACATATGTACGTGCCCTGGTGATAGTCATAAATTTCATCCAGTAACAGTGGGTTGCTCTTTTTTTCAGAGAGTACTCTTCCATTCTAATCCAAGAGACAAGGAAATTAAATAACTTTCTATAATCAGAGAATTGTTATTAATAACAATCGTACCTCTAAAAAAACTTAATGAATTTGAACCAGGGAAGAAGAAAGTCAGTCTGAGATGAGGACATCACAAGCTCAAAGAGATTCTGTTCAAAAATCTTACTTGTAGAAGTCTTTCTTAAAATGAGAGACATTTTCAAATACAATTACCTTATGTATGAAGATCAGGGCACCAGATCTAATCAGCCCACCAAGAGCTGATTTACTCAGTATTTCCCAAAGCCCAACTCAGGGCCCTGGGAGTATTCTAGAAAACTCATTGTGTTCTAAATAGCTGATATCTAAATTGATTTAAATATATATATATATATGTATATATATATATGCATATATATATATATACATATATATATATTTCTATTTCTGGAAATTGACATAGATTTTGTGTATGAGGCTAATATAAAGTTTCCTTTTAAATAAATTTAGCTCCAATAAAGAATAAAATCTAAATTTAAAATATTAAGTAAATAACTAAACAGGTATACATAAATATGACAAAAAATGACTGATGACTGAGAAGCAATTATTTAACTCACAGTGGCCCCAAAGTCAAGCGAGAATTAAGATACAATCAGGAACATTTCTCTTTCTTAAAATCTATCAGTGAGACTCTTTTGCAGTTAAGATAAAGTCCAAATATCTTCAGAGTCTGACCTTGCCATTCCTTCCTGTCCTCATTTCCTGCTACAGCACCCTCTCCCTTGCCCATCCCTACACAACCAGGGTCTTCTCAGTCCGTGTGTTTGCACATGTCTCTCAGACTTTTCTCAGGGGAGGGCTGCTGTTCAACCTTCGACTCCAACTCCAGAGGTAGCTCCCCTGGAGATGAGTTATCAGTCGCCTCATGCTCCCAGAGCAGGGAGCACAGACCTCCATCACTGCGTGTAGCCCTTTTACCATCATGACATGTTTAGGTCCCTCTTTCTCTATAGTTGTTGGGAGCAGCCTTTGTGCCAAGACACATAGCTGGTCCTGGACACACTGGGATGAATAAACAGAGGTCCCTTCCCTCAGGGAGCTGTCTAAGAATGCAGGCCCTGAGCAGTAAGCCAGAGTATGACACACTTGGCTCCTATGAAGCAGGAGTGCTCTCTCCAGTCTAGTTAGAGCTTTGAAGAGTATGTAGAAATCAGTCAGTTGAATGTTAAGTGCCATTTTAGGAAAATTTGAAGCAAAGTATGTATGTGGGAAAGAAGGCCAAGGTGAAAGGCTCAATGCACGTAATTGTCTTTGATCTTTGGTCTCCAGGCTTTGGCAAACAGGCCAGCAATAGTAAGCTCTTTGTAAACAATGAGCGATTAAATGCATGTATAACTGAAAGAAAAGTTTTGAAGCATAAAAGTCACATGATCAGCCTTTTTTAAATTTAATGGCAACTAAGTATGGAAGCTCTTGTAAATTTAAGCAAAGACAATCACAATCTCTTTTGTGTCATTAGGGACTAGGACATAGTAGGGGCTCAATAAATATTTGTTGAATAATTATCACTGTTTTAATAACCTCATAGCCCCTAATCTCCATGTGGCACATGGCCTTCCAATTTCCAACTAAGAGGACTCGAAACATATCTCTCAATGCTAGAGGTAAAAAGAAAAGAGACAAACAACAAAAATAACAACAGCCTATTATTCACATAGATTATGTAGTTCTTTCTCATAAATTATCTCCTATGATTGTCTGAAGGAATCTCTGACTTGGATTGCATAGATTCTCTGCCATCCATCTTATAGATGAGAAAATTGAGCATCTGGGATTTGTGTTTGGCTCCATTATCACAGAGCTGGGAAATGAGAAGATTGAAAATTAATCTAATTTTTTTCTGATTTGTGTCTCAGTTTCTAACTGAGGAATTCCCCTTCCACTTGAAGACTCAGGGATTCCCCCACTCCAAGACTCTGGTGTGGTTGTTGTGGCTCAAGAAGGAATTTCCAGTAGGTGCCAAGGAGCATAAGTCAGTGGTCAGAACTGGAGGGAGGGGAGCTGCAGGGAGGAAGTAAAACAAAGCCAATAGGTGGGACTGACAAGGTTAATTATCTATCATCTGATCTCAGGGATCAAAAACCTTGATCCTCGATTAAGGATCAAGAAAGGGTCAAAGCACAGGGTAAAATTCAGAGACAAAATGCTAGAGAACACAGCAATAACATACGAAGAGCAGAAACTGGAGTGGAGGTGTGTCATAAGTCACGTGAGAAGGTAACAGGGAAAGGTTATAGAGTTCTAACTAAGATCCCAGCTGAGCTACAGGGAAGATGGGTGATAACAAAGTTGATCATTAAGAATTCAAGAGATAGATGTAAAAGGAAACATCAAAGAAAGGAGATAAGAAAGCAGTTTGTGTCAAGAATGAGGGGAAACTCATTCTAATAATATAATCACAAATGATTCTAGTAAGAAAGAAAGATGCTAATGGGGCAGCACAGGAAATTCTTTGTTTTGTTCAGATGTGAACCAGTCATGAGCAAAACATGGAAGAAGAAACATCTAGTGTAAACCCATATGAGTAGAATCAGCAAGTCCTAGAGAGAATTAAGGCATGAAAAAAAATGGCTGAGAACACTAAAAAGGACTTTTAAAGGTATGAGTGAAGCGAGGAGAAGAACAAAGAAACATAGTCTGTGAAGAGCAGTTATTATAATATTATTCTCTCATTTCATCAAGCTGTTGTCCCACCAGGCAGTGCCCTCAGTCCAGGGAGCATAATGTACTTTGCATTACTCTAGTAAGAATAATACTCTAGTAAGAATAATTCCAGGGAATGGTGCTCCCTGGAATTGGGCAACATTAGGAAGGTCCTACCTGAGCTTATCCTACCTGGTCTGGGAGGACTCTTAGCATCTACATCTCGAGCTTGTCCTCCCTAATCGACTTGATGTTTTCATTTCTGTTTAAATGACTCATTGTGTTCAGATCTGTGTATGTCACCTCTTAGCACCCCTAGTGGACTTAGCTGCCACTTTCTCCAACTTGGTAAATGCTGTGAGTATATTTTGAGCCACAAAGACTCAAAATACTATAGACATCTCTGACACACATCCCTCTCCCCTTGAGAAAAAGAATTTAGTCTTTCATTTTATTCCTTGAAAATATCACTAACATCCACCATTTTCTTTCTGTTTCCACTGCTAGGTTCCTGGGTCAGGAATCACACTTGTAAAGTTGAGCCTCTTCAACAGAAACCTAATAATCGTACCGCATAACTAACCTTCGATCTGTATCCCCAGCTCTGCCATATCTACAAGGGGAGAGGGATGTGTGACAGAGATGTCTTTAGTCTTTTATTTTATTCCTTGAAAATATCACTAGCATCCACCATTTTCTTTCTGTTTCCACTGCTAGGTTCCTGGGTCAGGAATCACACTTGTAAAGTTGAGCCTCTTCAACAGAAACCTAATAATCGTACCGCATAACTAACCTTCGATCTGTATCCCCAGCTCTGCCATATCTACAACACTCAAGAATGTGTTGTAGATATGCCTCCACGATGCTGAGCTGATCTGCATTCATGGAATGCCCCCTGCATGTTTCTATCTCCATTGTCCATCGCACGCTTCCATGAGAAGTGCAGCTGCACAGTCTCTTGTTCCCATCATCAACAGACAACTTTCTACCTACATGTAAATGTTGTGCTAATATTTATTTTTTTAGTGGGAAAAAGGTACATTACAGAGATTATAGACTGATGAGTGAGATTTCAAGCCCTAGCAAAGTCTTGAATAAATGAATAAACAGATGGTTATGAACACTTTAAAAATGAAAAGTTGGTTAATATCATCCAGCTTGCATTCACTAATAGCAATCATGCCAGTCATCTCATTTCCTTACGTGATACAATGATTAGACTAAAGGTTCAGAAAAATGCAGTAGACACACTATATCTTCACTATAGTGAGTCATTCGGAAAATAGTTTAATAATCTTGTCAAACAAAATGAATATACGTATGATTCAGCCTTTGGGTGCCTTTTTTAGTTAATCAAGCAGCAATATGCCTCCCCATGTTGTAGATTAATGGACCATATGTAATTAGAGCGATCAATCTAAGGGCAACAACTGAAAACTGTCTTCAGTGCCAGGCTGTTCAGTATTTTGACTAAGTGCTTGAGTAAAGACACATCATACAAACATTTCATCTACAAGTCTCATGATCTAGAAGTGATTGCTAATATGCTGGATTTCAAAATCAGAATTCCAATCTCTTGACATGTAGAATGATGAGCTAAAACCAACAAATTATAGTTTAATTGGCATAAATGTAAAATCACAAACATAGGTCACAAATTCTACTCTATTAGCACAAAATACGACTGGTCTGATTGCAGTTTTTGTGAAAATGACCTACCGGACAACTTAGAGTGAATTGGCCATGTAATGAGCTGTCCCAAAGCTAAGACAAGCACAGACTGCATTGATACACTGTTCAGAACAAGGAAAACAGTAGTTTCTCTGTTTTCAGTGTTGGTTAGACAACATGTGGATTATAGTCTTGAACAGATGAGAAGAAGTTGCCCGGGAGAGTTCTGAAATTTAACAGTGAGAACAATCGAATGGGCTAATGTATCAACTTGGGAAACAGTTTTCAAAAAACAAAGCTAAATGATCTTTGCATCTTCCCTACTTGGAATCACATTAGTCTTTGGGTTAGCCAATCTCATCATTGTCACCAACTATTCATGTCACTAGGATCACAGAGTGCCATCCAGTGCCAGTTACCACAAGAACTAAGCCAAAAGGAAATGAGAAGGAGAAGTGGCAAGTCTATGTGCGAAAATTCCATGGAACACAGGGCTCAGAAACAGCCTCCTGGCAGTCACCTCGGCATTGTGGTGAGCAAATGTGGCACATGAGTGAGACTGTCTTAAACCACCAATGGAAAAGTTACTCACAACATAAATCTTACTGACAGGAGATCACCAAGTCTTTCCAACTGACCTTTGTCATAATGTTGCCCATGGCAAATATTTTCTTAGCTAAAGAACATGAAATTCCCACTCATTAAATGTAATTATCATTTACTTAAGATGAAGTTTCTTTATGCCAAGACTATTGACTATATTTTTTAAAATTAGGAAAATATAGAGAAAATATTATTAGAATAAAGATAGATTATTCGCTTTAATTTCAACTTCTCAGACATTCAATATTTCAGTTAGGAATCTCCAAGCCTAAATTTTTTGATGGCTCTATTAAATATATTTTGGAAACTTCCAGAGACTCCAGCCCACGGATTTATTTCACCAGGCACATGCCTGGTGATCAGGTTCATCTGAATTCCATAACACCATGTTTTTGTCTTCTGTGTTCTGAGATGTCTTTGGTGTTAACCACCCACCACCTGAGTACCTGGGGTTGGCATGAAGGAAAGGAATATTGGGTACTATTTCCTGCCTAATTCATCAATTTTAGTAATGCACTCTTGCCATGAAGTCTATGAGTTTCTAGGTTACTGCATGTGGGGGTTGTGTGTGTATGTGTGTGTGTGTGCGCGCGCGCACGGGCGTGTGTGTGTGTGAGAGAGAGAGAGAGAGTATGTGTGCATATACACACACACATGCAAATCATGAAACAAAATCTGAACCATGACCCCTTGAAATCTGCATCACAAGGTGCAATTTTAACAATAGCCATTATTTGCTTACTTTTACGAAAGATGCATATTCACCATTAAACACATCCCAACATTTGCAGTCAAGGCCCCAGAGAAATGATGTGCGCGCGCGCACGGGTGTGTGTGTGTGTGAGAGAGAGAGAGAGAGAGTATGTGTGGATATACACACACACATGCAAATCATGAAACAAAATCTGAACCATGACCCCTTGAAATCTGCATCACAAGGTGCAATTTTAACAATAGCCATTATTTGCTTACTTTTACGAAAGATGCATATTCACCATTAAACACATCCCAACATTTGCAGTCAAGGCCCCAGAGAAATGAAATAAAGCTTCCTTTTGTAAATGTGATACAGCTTTAGGGTTTAGCTTATAAGAGTAATATATGCAGAAAACTGGCAACTACTCTATGGCTTGTGCTTATCTGAAAGCTTACATTTCGGGGATACTATCATTGAAAATTCATTTTATCTGAAATGACTGAGGGCAAGCCTACTTTACTAGGCTCAGAACAGCCTACCTCGACATAGCAAGACATCTGTCATCCCCGACTACAAAAACCAAGGAAAATTTTGTTCTTAAGAGAGAACTGAAAATCATGACCAGAACCATTGACTCTTCTTACTAACCTCATTTTAGAGTTTATGAAATTAATGCATTTCTTAAAAGCCACCGGCTAAACAGGGGCCACCTTTTTTGACTTAAATGTGTGGCATTTTAAAATGCTTTTTTTTTTTTTTTTTACCTTAATAAACATGTATTTTGAAGTCAAATTTAAAGTTTTACGTATCTTCTAAGGCAAAAAGTACTGGACTTTAAACAATTATTGCAAGTGTAGAAACAATTAGAATTCTTTGCCTCGATTCCACTATGCAGGGGCCAACAGACAGAGGGCTATGTTAGAGGGGATGCTTATGTAGCATATCTGTTAGCACCTGGTATAACTATAAAATACAATGAAAATGTGAAGTGTTTTTGTTATGCTTACTCACATGTGGTTCCTAACTCAAAATGGTTACAAAACTTGCCTTTTCCTGGCCCCTGCCCTCTTTTTCACACTCCCTCCTCACTACCTCACTTGTCACTCAGGGCCACCTCGCGTTTCCCTGAACTGTCCTTCCAGATGTGTTCACTTAGGAAAATATTCTAGTCTCCTATTTCTTTCAGAAACCCTTCAAGTCTTCCTTGTCGGGTGTTCCCTTCCCCTTAGCAATGCCCATTGTTTTTTAAAGCCAGTAAAAATGAATTAATCCAGCTTTCTGCATTAGCAGATACTGTAAGTTTATGTCTTACCTTACATGAAATACACGTGAATTGTAGAAAATTTTCTGGCATTATCAAAAGAATGGTTTTAATAACTAGAATATCAGGCTCTGTGGCTATCCAGGGGAAAGACCACTTTAGAAAGTTCGGTCTTGTCTGTAAGCACAACACCAGCCTTTAGAAAGCTATCAACCTCAGATTTTCAAACCCACGTTGCTATAAAGTACTGACGGAGGTGTTACCATAACAATAGTACTAGTGCATCAATTTTGGAAAAGTCATTCTTACCTGGTACCAGGTCACCTCTGGACTCTGTGCATCATTTTGGCAGCCGAGACTGGGGCAATAAATGGAGTCAGTGCTACCAAGAAGAAGGTACTGCTTATACAGAGAGCTTACACAGGACATGTTTGTCTTGGGCTTAACTTCTACGACCATCTTAGCACAACAGGCCTCGTCCTGGGGGCTCCTAGAAGAGTCGACAAGGTCCTATGAACATAGATATATGTCCAGATCATACAGAATTTTGGAACATTTTCAGGTAGGAGTGCGTTTGGGACATACCTAATCCTGGGTGTACAAATATACGACCCAGCATCGTTCACCTCCATGGCCAAAAAACGTAGGGTGTTCTGATCCAGGATGATGTGAGAGTGATTTTTAGGAATTTCTCTTAACATATCTCCATTTGGGAGTTGTAGGTACCACTGGACATCAGATAAGTCCTTGCTGCCACTGCAAGGCAGGTATTCAGTGCCTTGGGTTGGTGAGAGTTGATTTCTCTGATAGAAATGGGATTTCTGTAGCTCTGGCAAATCACAAAATAAGATGAACTCCTCCTCACTCCTCACAGAATATGTCCAAAGAAGTTTTTTAGTGGAGCAATCTGAAAAGACCAATAAACAGAGTGACACAGAAACACATTAGAAGATGAAACTCTAACTTATGCTCGCAAAGAGTATATGTGTGTCTTTCCTCTTCACTGCTCCCATTTTGTAGCAGAGAAGAAATTTACATTCTAAATCCCTCCCAGTGGACTTCAGCATCATTGGTTATAACAGCGGTTTCCTGTTAGAGACGGCCAAAACCACTCCCATTCCCCTTGAGCTGCTCCCACTGAACACCTGTGACAACTGGGTTCCCCATGGATGCCTAGTATCAGCTGAAAGCTGCTCACCCCAATAATTTCTCCTCTTACACCTACGTTAACAGTAGGAAGGAAATATTTTGTATTAATAGGTCACGTGGTTGACATATCAAATTATCTGTCACTTTAAACTTTGACAAGACCCGCAGTGTTAATAGGAAAAGTGAAAACCCCTACCTGAAATATTAAGTCCTTTAATTCTCTCTCCTGTGACAAGCCAAAGAAATATGCATCCCAAACAAAGCATTGTTCTCCCTGGGTCCTATCATCACTTCGGCAAATCTGTTCTGTTGCCAGAGTGGAGTAAATTGTAGTTCAGGGCTCCGCCCTGAGAATCCTCTTTATTTCTGTAAATCAAGAAATGGGAAATGGAGAAATCGGAACTTGCCATCAAAATGCAAGTCACACAGGAAGCTTTGAAAGGGCAGGTCCTCCCAAATGAGCCTTTGCATGCCCACATTTGAATGGTGTCTTCAGTGGTGTGCAGCAGTCTCTTGGAGTGTATCATTTCCTACACATCTGAAGGAGGGAGAACATCTCCAGCTCATGGTATCACTCAGACTTCTGCACCATATAGTGTGTTCTTTTTACTCTGTTTCTTATCAGAACTCTTTTTTTTTTTTAAAGCTCTACCTAGTATGTATATTTTAATGACTAATTTGGAAAGAGTTAAATGAAAGTTTTCCTGAAAAAAAAAAAAAAACAATAACACAAGTTGAATGGAAATGTCAGATTCTCCACATTTTGAAAAGCTAGCAATAGAGCTCATATGCATAAAATCCTAGCTGTCTGCAAATTAGAGAATAGCGGAGGCTTCACTCTGTGCCTCAAGTTAAAAAGAGAAAGTTCTTGCTGGATGGCGTTGCTGCCATCTCTCTGAAAAACATAAGCAGGAGTGGGCCAACTCAAGAGAAAATCAGAGCCTGGGCTGCATTCCTCATGGTTTTGTTCCCCTTATTGATAAGGTGGTCTTTGGAATTTTCAAACCATTTACAAGAGATAAAAGATAAAAATACCGGCAGAGTACCCTAGTTAATTCCAGCTGCCATAAAAGAATACCAAAGATTGGATGGTTTATAAACAACAGAAAATTTATTTCTCACAGTTCTAGAGACTGGGAAGTCCAAGTTCAAGGAATTTGCATGGTCATATTCTGGTAAAGGTCCTCCACCTGGTTCATAGCCAGTGACTTCTCGCTGTGTCCCCACTTGGTAGAATATGTTAGAGATCATTCTGGACTCTCTGTTTAAAGAACACTAATCCCATTCATGAAGGTTCCACCCTTATTACACTTTATAAGAACCTCTTTAAGGCCTAATCTCCTAATATCATCACTAGAGGTGTCATTTATGAGAATTAGGATTTCAACATATAAATTTGGAGGCAGAGACACAGGCATTCAGACCATAGCAGTGGGTAATATTTGCTTTTTATTTAATTTTGTTAAAATTAAATAAAAGTTATAAAAGCAGAAAAGAAAAGTAATTTTTCTATGTAACAGTTTTGTCTCTGCCTCTGAGAGTTCTGAACTATTATCACTAACATAAAAAATAACCTGTGTATTATTCTTGGGGTTATAGGAATAAGGTAATTCAACCTCTGAACTTTGGCTGAAATTTTCTCCCAAAATACTCATATTGTTTTAGGCTCTTTGGGGACAGCTGTGGGGGTGAAGGGGGACAAAATAAATGATACAGCCACTGTCCTCAAGGTCTGACACAGTGTGAAGAACAATGTAGAAGAAAATATTATGCTGACAGTTACTGAAACAGCAGGGAAGACTTTGTTCAAGACTATTGCAATAGGGGAGAGAGACCAAGCTCAACTCAGAATGAAACAGGATAGGTGAGGATTTACAGCCAAGGTGCAGAGTGAGGGGATCAGGAGATGGAAAAATTACTAACAGACAACATCAGGGATAGGGGAATTCTTATTAACCTGACCTAACAAGATTATTTCTGAAGGCAGGTCGAGGACTTAGATACCAAGGCTGATGAAATATCAAGAATGGGAAGATGACTTAGCAGAAGTCTTTGCTATGACTGGGCTGGGAAGACCAAAGATAAGACTGGGGTAAACATCAAGGAGGAGGTCTTCAAGGTAAGCAGAGATTTTCAGGGGAGCCTGACTAAAATTTGGTCAAGGGGAGAGTCTTTGTCAATACGAACATGCAAATAAACAATTCTAAGAAGGAAGGAAGGAAGGAAGGAAGGAAGGAAGGAAGGAAGGAAGGAAGGAAAAAATAAGTTACACTAAATATCATATGTCCACTCTGAAAGTTCCCTTTAAAAACCTTCTCCCCACAACATGTCTGTTTTTTAGGCAGCTGACAGAATCAGTCAGTCTCTCTCTCTCCACATCTAACCAGCTATTCGAGTTCTTCTCCTCACTCCATCCTGTGCTCACTTGTCATTCCTGAAATTCTCCCTCCACCCACACTTCCCCAGAACATTACTTTCCAAGTGTCTCCATCTTTTCTCATAAAGAAAACTTGGCCTTCCTCATCTTATAAAATTCTCTATTTTCAACCAGTTTCCAACACACACACACACACACACACACACACACATCATGTCTCCAACATCTTCAGATGTGGGGGGGGGGAGACTTTAATATTTATAAATTAGTTATCAATAATTAACATTTCTCTAGCAGAGCCATTGATATCGAGGTGTCTTTGGGGATCCAATAGGAGTAGTCCATGGGCAGCAGGGTGGGACGCAGAGAGGGACCCTGGGTGGGCAGCACGGGCGAGTGTCCAAGCCAGAGAAGTCTGTAAGCTTTAAGGGACGGCAGATAGTCTTCCCTGAGGAACACTGGCCTGGTAGGGTGGGTCAGGGCCAAGGAAATATTAGAAAGGATAAACTCAAAAGCAAGAAAATAAACGGGACATAGAGATCACTCTGACACTAAGCACAGACAAAGTTTGGAGGAAAGACTAGGTGCAAAGTCAGAAGCTACAGAGGAATAGGGCTCGAAAAAGACTGAAAAGCATCCATTAAGTTTGGCCTCCAGTGGGATGAGATGATGAAGAGCTGTGCTGTGACGAGGGAGTAGGAGAAGAAATGTGGGGAGTGGAGACCCGACACGCCTTCCGCAAACTGCACTATGCAGAAGAGCCAGGGTAGTGTTTGCTCATTTGTTGAGGAAGGGAGAGTTTTGACATGATTCTTCTGAGAGGGAATGAGTTAATGGGGTGGCCGGTCAAATACAAATGAAAGTGAGGAGAGTTCATGGACCAATTTCTCCGAGGAGGCAGGAAGAGATGCAACCCTGAGAACCACAGGGAGATTTTCTCTCACAGGAGGCGAGCAGGGCCACTCAGAGTGGGCAGGACTATCCAGAACAGTCTGCCCAGGTCCGGCCGGAAGTGCAGGATGTACTCCCTTGGCTTCTGACTGCTGAGAGTAAGGAGTGCCGCAACAAAGGAGCTAGTGAGACAAAGGAAGGCCGCAAAGGGTTCCAGGGACAGGGACTAGAGTCACTGCATTATTTATCCCCATTGGGACAACCAGTAGCTTTCCTTTATAAGGACTGTGGTCTAGGAACGAGGCAGGAGAAAGCGACTGCCTTTCAAGATGTGGTCTGCCCCCGACTCGCCTCCTTTCTTTTGCCCACAAAGCCTCTAAATGAACAAGCTTCCCATCTCCAGGCAATGGAGGCACCTTCCTAAAAAGCAAGCCTGAGGAGGATGTCACTTCCATGCTAATAGCTTCACTAGCCCCACTGCCCATGAGATAAAGAATTGATTTTCAAGCACCATATATAAAACCCTGTATGACCTGAGTTGGCCCTCTCATGTCTTACCTTGGATTTCCTCCCCAGAAAGAACTTCCCTGACCTCCTGCATAAAGAAACCTATCCCTCACTCCTGACCATTGCACCAGCCAGCAATCATCTCTCTCATATTACTCATTTTATGACTTTGTCTTAGGACATGTTGTCTGAAAATATCTTGTTTTAAAAACTTCTCCCCCAACTAGAAGCCAATCTCATGCCAGAAGAAATTGCATCTCTTTTTCAGCCTGCATGCTTTCTCCAAAATTAGTGCCTGAGTAACAAAGGCTCAGTAACTCCTTGTTCACAATTTATCCTCACTACAGTGTAATCTTTATTTCATATCCCGTGTTCTCCCTCTAGAGCTCCTTGAGAGCAGAGATCTTATCTCCAAATCCTAGGACAAAGTTTTATGCCTAAATCACCATCACTTCTGTTTTCAAATGCAAAACACTTCAGGAGGAGTCAGAACAAATGCATATCAATCTAGGTTTTAACTATTAACTTGCTATGTGACTCTAGTTAAGACACTTAGCCTCTCTCTGCACTCCAGTTTTCTTATCTGCAAAATGAATTATTTGGATGTATCAGTAGTTCCTCCATCTTAGAGCTAGGGGATCATCGGAACTTTTGGGGATTCATCTAGGATATCTATACATTTTTTAAAGTTCCCTGACTTGGGGGCAATGGGATGTCATGATTGCTAAGGCCATCTCAGCTCTAACATTCTGTGATTCCATAGTCTAATGTCTGAGCCTATAGTAAATTGGTTATTGTGACACCCCACAGTCTCTAGCCCTCAGGGATTCCCATCCCAGAACTGAGGGGACAGATACTCTCTCCATGATACACTCACCTGCTGGCCTAGGACCTCAGGCTGCCTGGGACTGTTTCCAGAATACGGCTTTGTCTATGGGACAGTGTTTCTCAGATTATCTTGATTATAAGAATCACCTGGAACACTTGTTACAAATGTAGATTTCCGAGCTCTCCAAATCATATTAAATCAGATTTTCGAGGAGAAGAACATCAGAATTTTCATTATAAACAAGTGTCAGGGTGATCACTGTGACTCAGGAAGCATCCTTGGAAAGGATGCTTGTCCTCAGGGACAAAGACAGAGCTTGGGGATGTGGGTGCATTCTGAGCTATTGTGGCTGTTGCCAGCACTACTGGCAACTAAACAGTGCAAGGACAAGTCCATTCTGAAAATTCCTTTTATGTGGGAAACACAACTGATGTTTTTTGTCGACATCTACCTCTTTAAGACCATTTAATGTCTATGTGATGCTTTCATCCCTCCATCACTAAAATGCTTCCGTGAATCGTGAGGAATTCAGCAAGAGGCAGAGTATGTCAGTTATCCAGCATTGAGTAACTGAACCCAAACCAGGCTTCAGACTCTCTGTTTACGGGAGTAAACTGATGGACAGGTGGCACTGAATATAGTGGTCCCTGCTCTCTCATTTATTTTCTGATCATACTCTGGAAGATGGCTATTGTCTTCTCATTTTTCTGAGAGACAACCAAGACTCACATTGCCTGAAGTAGTGGT